GATATGAAAGTGATAGAGGAGTTGAAATGTAAACATGAAATCCTCCCTCATTGGTCTAATGTTTTCACCAACGTTACTGACAATTAAAAGTGCAGTTTCGTATAAACAGCAACCCTCGGTGCCCGATCAAAGAACCCATGTCCCCTGTTTACACAGGAAATTGAAACACAAACAAATAAACAGTGTGCCAATTTGCCAAATTACGCGGCCCAACCCCAACGTGTTTCTCAATATTTGAAACACGCGAACGAGGTTTGGACCCTCTTTTGTGATCTCTGAGAGGCCGTATAATCTGGAGGAGGACTTGTTGCTCAAATTAGTGGGTAGAGAAGTGTGCCACATGTTCAGTATCCATAAATATTGACTCTGGCTTTGGAGCTGGCCGTCTCTGACCTTGGTGGGTTTCCTTTTCGGGACCGACCTATATGAAATGTGTCCCATTTCCCCACAATCTCTTTCATGCGCCACGCACACGTGCTCGGCATGGCCCAGCAGTCGTGCTTCTGCTGTCAAGCACATGTGGATTGATGAACTTTTTACTGGTTTCCAAATTAAAAAGCATCAAATTAGAGGTGAGTCACAGCGGCGAAACGGTCCCTGGTTTTTTCAAGCGACATCTCTGAAGATGATCTCCTTGTAAGTGTGTTGGTTGTGTGTGAAGACTACATCTGGCTCAAAGCGGAGGAATGCAGGCCCTGTGTCTAGCCAAGTTGCTGTTAACAGCAGGTGAAAGGCTAATAGTTGGATCTGCAGTGTCATCTCAGGGCTTCATCTGCCCCCTGACTCCTGGAATGTAGGCGATGACAAGAGGAGGCCGCGGCATCCACATCCAGCACATGTGTACAAAGTAACACACACATACTTATAAACACGGCATGCATACTGTGGCATGCAAAGAAACGAACGAGTGCAGATCTCCGGTGAGGACGGGACAATGAACCGTGTCTTCTTTTACGTATAAAAACAAGAAAACACATCTCAACCTAATCTTCTCCAAATAACCTGAAATATCCCCCTCTGAAAGGGTTCAGTCTACTTTTGTTATAAATATTATGTATTGAACATTGTTCTCCCTGAAGGGGGTTTCCATGCAAAACAAAGACATCCCATTTAACCGAAGCCCAGGCCATGATGGTGGTCTCCAGTTTATTATTGTTTTGGTGACGGAAGACAAATTTCTCTGAAGGTGAAGGCTGAATGAAACATATCTATGAAGATATTTGACTTAAAAACAAAATGTTCAACACGCAGGTGACGGTTCAGGTGATTTATGACCCAAGAACTGGCCTTATGTTCCTCCTTTGGTAACATGAATTATGGCCCCAATATAACTCCCAAACCTTCAGTGAATTATGATGAAAAGAATAACATAAAAAATAAAGACAAAAATCAAACCAGGGCGGGAAAAGGGCAGTTCCTAACAAAGGGTTTTTTGTTTTCAGACGTTTCATTTGTGTTGCTGCGCAGTGCAGACTGAGGGCCTCAGGGGTCGGATCAGAGACTGGCCGTATTAGTCCTTACACTGGGACAAAAGGATTTCCAAGAACTCCAGTTTAAGCTGATAACAACACACTGTGGCTAAACTACTGTTATGAGGATGTACAGATGCTCTATTGCGTTGCTTCTCAACCCACCTGTGGGCTATGGGAGATTTTGAGTGGATCTCTGAGGGATCATAAAATTTTACCTTTTGTGAGCTGTAAATTCTCAGTAAAACCACCTCCTACGGCCCGTGAAAAACGTGATGTTACTTAGTTTTGTCTCGACTCTTTCAACTTTAAAGCTGAATCACACCGGATGTGGAAGAAAAAGGACAACTGCTGTACAAAGTACACTATGCAATGATAATATTATGGAATTTTGCCTAAACAAAAGTGTGGGAAACTCGATGTTGCTTTTGTGCATGTTTTGACAAAACTGCATTTAAGCTTAAATAATGTTTCCTCTTCCTATAAGCTGTTGGTCAAGAGAGCAGAACATCTCGAAAAGCAGCCAGAAAGAGAGTTTGTAAACGGCTGTCGCAGTGAGCCGGATGCCTCAGTGCGTTGTCGACCGGCAGAGTACCTCTGTCTTGACCTTGAGCTTCATGCGGCCTCTTTGAGGGACTATTTACTGCTATCATGAACAAACAAATGCCTGCTGGGAGGAAATAATGATGCTGGTGGATGGTGGTCGGTTGTGCCGAGGGGGGGGGAACGCTGTCTGGCTGAGTCATAGTTTAACCTCCCTTGGCCCTCCTCAGTGGATCGTTCATTTGTGTTTCAGATAGCATATCTCTATCTGGCCCCTCTCCTGGCTCTGCAGTGTTGTCCTTTCAATCAGCATGTAATTGGATCAGCCACAGCGATTAGATAAACATGATGTATCTGGCTCAAAACAATGATATACACAGTGTCAGAGCCGCATGATCTCCTCTGATCAAGTCCATCAACGGTCTTGGCTAGACACACTCTTCAGTGCTGGTTTGATACAAGCTGTGCCAAGGAGGAACACCTAATATGAGCATGCCCTCCAGACACACACCTTTGCATGCCCACTCATTCAAACCACACGCTTTTATATATCTAAAGAAAAAAAGAAGAAGAAGGCATAAGATGAAGCCCTTTCTTACTAATCCTTTCACTCGGGTGATTAAAGATACTCATTGCTTGCTATGTAAGGCCTTATCCCCTGATCTTAAGCATCTAAATGCCAAGCAGCTTCTAACCTGGTTTGAGTTTAGAGCGCTCACTCCACCGTAGGTTGTTTTGGCAACAGGAGAGAACCGACTTTCATTGCAAATAGATTAACCCACAAGTAGAATAAATCTAAGCAAGAAAGATCAATTAAAGGGATCTTCCGGCGTAAAATTAATTCAGGGTCAAACACACCGTAACACCAAGTTAGACACCCCATCGAGAGATGAATGTTGCCGACTGCTTGCTTCTCTAGTTATACCAACTTTAGTTACAACCGCACGAGAGCAATACACAGCAGTCTGACGAACAATAAACAAACCTCAACCAAAACGCCACTCTATAGCCACAAATAATGCTCAGAACAGCACCTAACTTCATCAACAGTACATATAGCTTTGCCTAATTTCTTGCAAAGCGACTGAACACAACTCACCTACTCTCTTCCAGCAGCTTGTTTGTAATGGGCCAGTCCATTATGGACTACAGTGGGGTGACGCAGCCCAAGGAAGAACATTTATGATCATTTCTTCATGGAAATACAATCAGACCGAGAAGCTAAGGCAGAAGAACTACTGCGTCCACAGTGCAAAATTATTTATATAGTGATAATTACTTCAAGGAAATGATAAAGAAAGATCTCGCTACAAACAAGCGGCTGCTTAAGGAGAGTGGGTGAGTTGTGTTTAGTCCCTTTGCTAAAGACATCCGGCAAAGTTAAAAAGATGTTTGGTGGCTAGTGCTGTGGATAGAACTCTACATGTGCTGTTGATGAAATTAGGTGCTGTTCTGAGCAATATTTGTGGCTATAGAGTGGTGTTTTGGTTGAGGTTTGTTTATGGCTCCTCAGACTGCTGTGTATTGCTATCATGCGGTCGTTACTAAAGTTGGTAAAACTAGAGAAGCAAGCGGTCGGCAACATTCATCTCTCGAGGGGGTGTCTAACTCTGTGTTACGGCGTGTTTGACCCTAAATCAATTGTACGCCGGAATATCCCTTTAGCGTGTTCTGAATTTATGAATGAGCGTAGAGAAAAATGAATGCATGAACTCAAGTGGGCTAACTACAGAAAGCATATTTCATTCTAAAAGCTGTGTGGAAGTGATTTTGACAATGAACAGACAACCATAAGGACATATATGTTAAAACTGGTAAAAAAAAATAGTAAAAAAAATCTTGGCTCAAGCCAGGGGAAGACCGAAAAACATTGCCACTCAGGTAACGGCATGCACCCACGGGCCTCTCTGAATTTTAATTGCTAAGTAGATGATCTGGGATTATCCCTCATAAAATGTTATTGTCCTGAAAGGAGACAAAGATATCTTGTGATCTCTCTGGGGTTTAATCTATTGCCATCTCTAGGAAGAAAACAGGCCTGTTGCTTTGACCAAAACAAGACCACTTGCCCCGCCATCATCACCTAATGGAAGTCACTTTAGGGGGAATCAATGGGGGCTTTCTAATGGAGATGAGCTGAACGTTTAGGCTACTGACTACACCCTGTAGGGAAAAGACAATGCAGTAAAGTTTCTCTCACCTCTCTGTGAGCAACTGAGAGAAGAAGTACTCTACTAATAGAGTAGTTTCAAATCTACATGTGGTTAAATATTCACAAAAGCAGCTCTGGGATTCTTCCTTTGTGTGAGCAGATTTTAAAATGTGTTTTATGATTTTCAAGAAGAAAAAAAAAACATTTCGCTCCTCGACTGGGAAGTTTTTTAAGATTTCCCCTGAGACCTGGTATTTCAGATCGTAGGCGCCGATCACCATGCCAAAATCCGCCAGCGGTGTATTGATAAACTGCTGAGGACTGGACCGAAATGAAAAGATTAATTCATCCAGGAGGAGGAAGCGTGTATAAATCAGCCCTGGTGTCAGACACACATGTTCAAGCACCCACCCACCTACCCACAACCATCTGCGCACACACACACGAACACACACTGAAGTTCGGCAGGAGGATGTGATGGTCTCTCTTGGTCTAATCCTCTAAAACCACAAAAGCAACACTCTGTAATGCCATTATCTTTTATTATTAATCCAAAAGCCAAACATGACCTTCATAAACTACAAAACAACAACCCAGTTTGAAGTTGTGTTTTTATAGTTTAAGGTGTTGGTAAATGTAAAGAGTTTGGGGTTCAGGATTATTGCCCCAAAGACAAATTTTATGTGACGCCCTTGATGCCATGATAAAGTCATTTCAAAAGATACAGACCTTTGTACTGAATTGTGTCATTCTTAAAGGAAATCTCCATGTGGGTGAGCCTCCCTGTTATTAAATCATATTTAAAGTATCTCTAATATGTGTTTGTTTCATTAAGCATGAAAAACCTTGGAGCCTCCGGGTTCGAGGTCCTGCAGGAGGTGCTTTCTAGTGGACAGATGATTGACAGCCCCTCGGTGACATCACTGTTGGACAAAAAGAGTCGCAGGGGGAAGAGAAGGCACCAATCAATTCAACCACTACGCTGTGGCGCACAGAGGAGAGGGGACGCGCTTCCAAACCTGAATCAACAAGGTCCACAGGAGCGACACTTGAGTGCGCCTTTTTCTCTCTCTCTCTCTCTCTCTTCAAGGAGAATTCTGCTTGACTTTTCTCAGAGCAAACTTTTCCTCGGGTTAAAGATGTTCAACGAAGATGCTTTATACTTAGATCGCTCCTGCCTACGCGAAGCCGCTTCCTCATAGACTTAACATAGTTTTTTTTTTTCCTTCTTTCCGCGCTGACCAAGACCTAACCCGATTTGCAGCTGGTGAGAATATGTGCGAGAGGCGATCGGCGAAGGGCATGGGCTGTCTTTGGTCCCCCAAGGAGAAGCAGCGTGGATTTAACACGAATTAATGTGGAATTTATCGGAGCCAAAAGGTGGAACGACGACCGGACACAGCGCTTCCTCGTCAGGTAAGAAGAAGAAGACTGGTTAACTTTTTGTTACTGTTTAAAGAATGGCATTAAAACTGAGATCATATCAAGAGTTAGAAATGAGTTACTTATGAGGAAAAGTTTACTTCTCAACTGCAGAGGGAAAGCTCTCCCACTGAAGAGGCTTACAGGGTGTGTGCGTAAAAGTTAAAGCGTTCCCATTTTGAACCAAGGGGAAAGCTTATTTGAGGAAAAGTGAAGTTAAGAACTTTTTTCTTCTTTAGAGGTTGTTCTCTTCACGTGATATTTACTTTTACATGTCTTGTCCCGGGCTGGCTACATCTGGCTCTGGTACGCACGTCAGATCTAACACCTGCGAGCCTCTTGAAGTAACCCTATCCCTTATGATTATACATGACCGTCAAAGCCTCTGCAAATAGACGCTTGTAGCACTGTCTGAATGCCTCTCCTGCTGCTCTCTATTCTTACTCCTTTTCCTGACAGCATTCCTTTATGCTTCTTGTGATCTTTCGAGCCACGCAGACTTTCTTTGCTTTTCGTTTCATATCACCTCACCTTATCTCTTCTAATTGGAGACTTTATGTCTGCAGTCTGTCCCCCCCCCAACTTTCTTTGATTTGTCTTTCCTCTTACATTCCCTCTTTTTTTGTTCTTCTCTTTCATAATCCCCCTCACCTTCATATTTTCATGTTTCTTTCCATGTTAAGATCCATCTTCCTTTTCACTTTGACGCGCAATATTGCCGGAGGGGTTGTTAATTACAGCCGCCTTTTTTGTTCCACTTCAAAGTGAAGAGGTGTCTTCCCTTTTTAACCTGCTCTCCTTCAATCACTCCTACTGTATGGGGGAATCTCACACAGTTTGGGGAATGCTGCAGTGAAGTCTACCTCATGTCAATACCTCAGCGTCAGTGTATTGACAGAAACCAACTTTCTCCACAGGGACTGACTGATCATGGTCGCCGTGGTCCGCTCTCTCATGGTACTGCTGCTCGCTCAGGTGTTGCTGGAAGGTGCTACGGGACTTATCCCCGAGGTCGGCCGGAGGAAGTACAGCGAATCCGGGAAGCAGACCCCACAGCAGTCGGAGAGCTTCCTCAACGAGTTTGAGCTCCGACTTCTGAATATGTTTGGACTGAGGCGCAGGCCGACCCCGAGCAAGCAAGCCGTGGTGCCGCAGTACATGGTGGACCTTTACCGCATGCACTCTGCAAACGGAGACCACAGCACTAAACGGCCCAAGAGCATGGGGAAGCACGCAGAGAGAGCCGCCAGCAAGGCCAACACGATTAGAAGCTTTCACCATGAAGGTATGTATTAGTGACATACCTTTACCTGTCAGCCGGGGAGCTGCTCTGCTCTCTCAGACAACCCAAACCTATATTTAAACATGACTCAGAGCGTCAGGACTCAACTTCAGAGTCTTCACTCTTTTATGGAGCGTTAGTCATTTACAGGTGACACGCGTCCAACTTATCTATGACTCTTCAATAATTTTAGGAGCGCTGACACAATTACAAACAAGCCATGCCATGCACAATAAAATAAACTAATGTACAAAGTGATGCAACCTTTTACCAACATTCCCCAGGCGCAGCTGTCACGGGCTCCAAAGCATGAAGGGGCGGTGGTATCCCTGGGGTAATTTGTTTCTTAATAATTGATGGTGTTTGCGTGGGCTCTGAAAACAGTTTTTCCAGACACGCACCACAGGCGCGGGATAAAGGGCGGTGTGCCTGCGCGCAGGTGATAGTCATCACCCTGTTTCTTCAATAACACACGACATGACATTATGCTAACACGCATTATGACAAAGTCGTCGTGTCAGACTGAATCCTGAGTCATTTTAACAGGACTGAAATTAAAGGGGGTGGAGGAGGGGTTGCGCGCCTTATTCTTTCCAATTCACCCCTCTCTCTCTCTCTCTCTCTCTCTGTCTCTCTCTCTCTGTCTGTCTCTCACTCCGCGCGCTGTGCGCCATTACGCACGTTCCAATAACACCATAATTGCTCACTTAGTTTATATGCTGGATACGCGCTGATTGTTGAATCCAGGGTTTCATTTCAATTCCAATTTTACGTCTAAATCGCCAGCTGCTGCTCAGTTGAATGAGGTTCACACAGGAACTGTCTGAGTTATTGATGAAATTGATCATTTTAAACTGTTGAGGTGAAATTTAAACTCCACTGGTGCCTGTTTGTAAACCCAGTTTAACACTTGGCAGCTGTGTGGTGCACCTGGTGGTAATATTAACATGATTTATTTATGATTAAAAAAAATAACTTTTACTGGCAAACACGCCGCTAAATATAGTCAGTATCACTCAATTTCCTACAGACATGTTCCAGTTTTTACTACATACAAGTTACTGAGTCCATAGGGGCTCCACACACAGTCCTTATACAGAGTCCTGAGTGTTTGAGTGGGGAAGTTTCCATCAGGGGTGAGTCAGAGGGGTGGTTGAGTGGTTGCTTGGGTGCTCTCCAGAGGCCCATGGTGCAATGACACCCAGTGGCTACTCTGACACACTACAAACAAGCCTGGCCTGGGCAGCCCGTGCGAGTCTGTGTGAGTGCTCGCTGCCCACTCCTGGAAACCTCTGCACCGGCCAGCACACACCTTGACACCACCGGCCATTACCAATGTGTTCAGACTATGTTTACATGCGCTCCCAGTGGCTCTTTCATCCTATGCTAACAGAACGGCGGGGCTGTTAGTCTTCTCATGTCAGGAGACGTGCAATTGCTGGCTGCTCCATATAATAAGCATGTATCTACAGATGTAAACGCAGCACATCAAAGCCAACAGCTCTAATCATTCATCACATCTGCCTGATGATATTAATTTCACTGGAATAATTAGTTTCCCCGCTATCAGTTTTCAGAAATAACCATTTCCCATGCCAAATAGAACATTTTCACTATTACACAGGAAGTGGCTGCCAGAGACAGGTCCATGATAAATGACCCAACATTAGCCTTTATCTTTTGTTTTGGCATGCAGCGCAAAAAGAAATTAGGAATGTTGATACACTCATATCTGTGGTTCACACGTTTTTGACAAGCCTCGACTTGTTCACACAGCCGGAGACAAACAGACAGAGAGAGTGAGTGAGTGAGTGAGTGAGTGAGTGAGTGAGTGAGTACGCAGCAGCAGCGGGAGAAACAGCAGAAGGAGTGACAGAGAGGAGGAGAAAAGAAAGAAAAGAGGATTTGGGGCTAAGAGAACAGAGGGAGAAGGGGATTTGGGTGCCGAGGAAGGAGAAAGAAAGAGAGGGATTGGGGACAGAGGAGAGGGAACTAGAGACAGGGGGCTTTCCCACATCAAATGAGGAGTGATAGGCCTAATTGAGGTCTTTGTGCCTCTGGAGGGAGGTTTAGGATGAGATGGTGGAATTTCCTGAATGCCTCCTTTGAAAGAGCTCAGAGTTCAAAGTTTGTGTTTATTTTACCACACTGAACAGATTAAAAAGTGTGTCTATACATCAGCTATGATCTTCATAAAAGAAGGGTTCAAAGTGAGGCCGCCTCAAAGTAAATTACAGCTTTCTGTCCTTTACGGTTCAATATAAAGGGGAATCCCAATCAGCTTGAGTATAATGGAAAACCGTCTTTCAAGAAATGGGATTTGAAATGTGTAAAAGCTTCTCAATGTCCTCTTGAAGTTACGCTTACTGAATCAATCTTAAGCAAAACTGGTCAACTCTGTAAAAGTAGATGCAATAGTTGCCGTTACTCCAAAAAGTAAAGATATTAATTCAATATTGAGAAATGCTTTCTTAAGGATGTCTGCATGTCTGGTGCTGAAGTTGTTGGTGGTAAATTTGATCCACAGCCAGTTCTCATAAGGCAAGTGTGTCATCCCAAGGCAAGCCGAGTAGTATGTTTGATCTTATCAATAGATGGAAGTGAGCCGCTTTCATCTTCTGACATCCAACCAGGTAATTTACCAGCGTGACAGTAATGACGGTATTACATCACCGTAAGAAGTGAATCTGTCCCTGAGTCATACAGACAAATTGATGATGCGTGTGTTATGCTCTTGTGACAATAGCCCACACCCATCCAATAGAACCACGTGGCAGCTTGGCTGGCTGCACAGAAAGAAGGCTGCACGTTGTGTGTGTGTGAGAGAGAGAGAGAGAGAGTGAGTGAGCCATGTGGGAAACCATCCTGCTCACAGTGGATCCATGAGGCCAGCAAGGCTTTAATTAAATGTGTTATTTCTGATTCTTGTACCATGCATTAAGTTTCTGTTTAATCTGTTCCATGCTCTCCGCTAACACTTCATGTCTTTGTGCTGTTTCTTGCAGAGTCTATGGAGGCCCTAGCCAGACTAAAAGGCACAACAACCCAGCAGTTCTACTTCAACCTCACCTCCATCCCCGATGAGGAGCTCATCACCTCTGCAGAGCTTCGAATCTACAGGGACCAGGTCAGGGGAGCTGTAACCCCAACAAACAGCTCAAAAAACAGCAGCAGCAGCAGTAAACGTGCCCCCGCTGGCGGCTTCCATCGTATCAACATTTATGAGGTATTTGGAAATCCCGCCACTCCTGGTGCGGAGCCTTTAGCACGTCTGCTGGACACTCGGCTCGTGCAGGACTCTTTTAGTCGCTGGGAGAGCTTTGACGTCAGCCCCGCTGTGTCTAAGTGGACCTCTGGCAAAGTACACAACCATGGTTTCATGGTGGAGGTGCTTCATCCGGAGGGAGGGGAGATGGATGGAGAGCATGCTCAGAGACATAGTAAGCATGTCAGGGTTAGTCGGTCCCTGCATGAGGACAGAGACTCATGGCCTCAGGCCCGGCCTTTGCTGGTGACATATGGACATGACGGCCGTGGGGACTCTGTACTTCACACACGGGAAAAACGTCAGGCAGCACTCCGCAAACAACGCAGAAAGCACCCGCACAAGGCCAGCTGCAAGAGACACGCTCTGTATGTGGACTTCAGTGACGTGGGGTGGAATGAGTGGATAGTGGCGCCTCCTGGCTATCACGCCTTCTATTGCCATGGGGAATGTCCATTCCCCCTTGCAGATCACCTCAATTCTACCAATCATGCCATTGTGCAGACGCTGGTCAATTCAGTCAACTCAAACATCCCCAGAGCCTGTTGTGTGCCCACGGACCTCAGCCCCATCTCCCTGCTCTACCTGGACGAATATGAGAAGGTCATCCTAAAAAACTACCAGGACATGGTGGTAGAGGGATGCGGCTGCCGGTGAGAAACTGACAGACTAAAGAGACTGAAAAAGACTTTAGAGGTTATTACGGACACCCAGTTTCCCAATGAAGACTTTAATTTATATAAAACAAAGACAGAACAGAGCTATCGTGGAAGAAGAAAACTATATATGAATATATTTATGTCTACATAAAGTTGGGAAAATAAATATTTTAATCAGAGGAATATTCCTTTTACTGGTCTTGAAAATGTATTTCTGATGTACATTTCCAAATGGGTGCAATACCACATGAAGTATAATGCTCAGATTTTTATTTTGTATTTATTTCTATTATAACCACTTTAATTGTAAATAAATATTGTGTATTTATCGTGAAAACCGTGGTCACTCCAATTGTCCAAGCTTGCGGAGAGTAATGCATCGGCCTGTGCTGATGAATTCATGTCAAGCGCCGATGTGTGTGGTTGGCGAACCTCTTCTCGAATTCTGACAGAAATTAGCTGTATAAACAGAACGCATGACAAGAAGCTCACTTCACTGATTGCAAACCAAGCAGTGAGCTCTTTTGGTAAATGTAACTGGAAACCAACAACAATAGAAGTGCAGAAAGGAAAGTGACAGAGCAGGGTCAGGGTGCTGCTGGTGTAATGAACTGCAGGAGGGTGTAGGGTCACAGGACGGGAGTGACAAGTTACAAGCCCACAAATGTGATAGACTCCCGTGGGAGGATTAGCAAAACACCAGAGCATGTTTTCATGCATTACATGTCACTGCAAGGATCCCTGGGAAGATTCGTCTACAAGCTAGCTCCCGTGTTTTTTCTGCTTCTAACCATTATTAACCGAGGGAGGAAGAAGTGAACCTGCAGGGTTTGGAAACAGTCTTTACTTATGACGAGATTTGAGAGTGAAAGAATGCAAACTGTGGCATCAACAGGCGCTCAGCAAGAAAAAGAGCCTACTGGCACTTTAATTAATAAAGACAAACAAACACACACCTGCACCTGTCCACATACTGCACATGCTCAGACAGATTCTCCTTCACTTCAGAGTTTGGCTGTCTTTCTTTGTTGCGCTGAGTCATAAGGTTTTGACGTATCGGCATTGAAATAAAGAAAAAAAACAAAAACAGGTATGTTCGACAAAACTCTTCAGCAGCAACGAAATGAAGTTCACCAAATACCTAGTAGGAAAGAGTCACGTTTGCTTTCTGCGACACAGGAGGGTGACTGGAAAGAAAAACTCATATGATCATATGATGCAGCAAGACAGCTTAAAGCATGAACACCTGAGTCAATATCTTTATACTGCAATTACTGCTCTAAGTTCAAACTAAACTGACTTACAGAGCTCCAGAAAGACATAGATGAAAATTTATAGTGTTGCCACAATAGCAGATCAGATAATGAGAGGGAGAGAAGAAACAGAGAGTTTTTGCGGAGTTTGACTGACTTCGTTTTCTGCTGTGTTTGCATTAGAAAGGGTTTGGAGGGATCACAAGGCAGCTCAAAATGCTCTAAATAGAATGTTTTTTATGTGAGCGCACATTGGGACCGTGGAATGTTGGTTTTCAATCTCAGACACATGCATACGCTTGCATGGAAAACCAACGTGGTTGTTTTTTCAATCAGCTATTCAAGGGTTTCCTGGTGGGCTTTTTCTCTTGAAAAACAAAATGTGCATCGAACAAAGATATGCTTGTTACTTATATAGGAAATGTAAATCAAAACATCCAGAAGGTGCCGTGAGACTTTATTCACAGGCAGTAAAAACACTGAAATGTCACTTTTTTTTCTTTTCCCTCAGATCAAATCTGTTTACCCTTTCTTATCCTCTGAGGGTGTATTGCACCCGTCTACTCTAGATGATGCAACTATCCAATTATTTTTGCTCTCCCACACACTTCTCCTCCCCCTCTTTTCATATTTAAGTTACAATCTTCTGCATGTGTTATTTTATTCTACCTTGCATCTCCACCCCCCTCAGTCCCATCTGGTGTCCATTTGTCCTCTGTGGACCCCACCATACCACAACCACTCACATGGGCTGCACATACCCCTGCCAGTAGCAGCACTGTTTTAATGGACTGCAGGAGGAAGTCACTCCGCTGGCACACTTAATGAACACTCGATAAAAATCAACACAAGAAGCCAAAACCCCAGAAAAGTTTTGGGGGATTTCAGTTTTAAAAACTGTTATATTTAGTGGTTTGCCTTTATAGTTGGAGTCCATAAACCTTTCACTGGGCTGGGTTGAAATATTGCACACAGGGTGGGTGACACATGGGTAGGACTTCCGAAATTCCCCTCCTGCACCCCATCCAAGCTAAGCTAGTATCCAGTTGTTCTGTTACTTGGCCAGATAGTCAAGACTCCAACTTGTGAGGCGACTCTTTTCAGAGCCACGTTAGTATTGGACAGCTCCTCAGGGAGCACTCCTCAACTTCTCACTAAGAGCAGAGGCCAGGGGTCAAAGTAATAAGGACCTATTATCTCCGCCATTACTGACTGACTTCCAGGCTCATCACGTCATCTGAAGCTAGAGGCTTCAAGTGTGGTCAGCCACCGGTTGATATGGAAAACATGTATCAGACAGAATCTGATCTTTTAATACGGCACAGCATGAACTCTAAAACCAGGTATTTAATGGCACCAAAGAACCGAGGAAAAGCTAAATTTGAGTCTGTGTGTGTCTTTGTATTCCACTATTTGGTTATAGAGGCACAACTGTGAGAAATGTGTTCTTGGCAAGACTCTCTTCACCTGCTACACAGACTTCTGCAAAGTCACTCGCCGAAAACATATTTTCCCCTTCCTTCTCCATGAACATCTGGTAAATCTGTTAAAGGTGTCCTTCGCTGTCTTTGTTTACGCACAAACACACAACAGAGCAGCCACACAACTGATGAGCATAACACTGGAAGCTGGGCCTTACTAGCGTGGCAGGGCTCGTTCGTTTTTGTTTGGTGCGCAGCAAACCACACCGAAACTATCTGCAGCTCTAAACAACCCAAATCATAAGGGTTATAAAATCAGATTTCCAGATTTCTGGCTGGCCCAGAATTGGAAAGTATGCGGTGTGTCGTGTATCTTTGATGAAACAGAGGGCCTAGTCACTAACAGAGATCTCAGCTGGCTCTGCACCAAAGAAGGACATGAAAATGTAGAGAAGTGAAGAGAGACAGTGGCCACTTTAGAGCCTTTTTCAAACTTTTCTTTTTTTTCTCCTTCATGTGCTGCACACACTAATTTTAGAGGTGGTGCACATGGTGTTTTTTCTCTGTATTCTGAGAACAGCCAGTGAGATGACGTCCAGCATAGCTAAGACTGTGGCATCTGTGCTGCAGCTCCGAACACATCAAACAGACGGGCGTCCACAGATTCAGGAGCAGAGCAAACATGGAAATGACTTTTCCAGAATGACTGCACAGATGATAGTACTTTTACATATACAATCTAAGCCTTTGATTTGTCCGAGTACATATGAGCACGGACAACAACATATGAAAAAGAGATTATCTGCGAGTACATATGCCACAAATATGCCTTAATGAATGTTGTTGTATATTCCCAGTGCTGAAGCCAAGGAAAAGACAACAACATAAGTATAAACTTTCGCTAACTCGATCCTAAAACATGATTGCTGCTGCTGCTACCAATAGAGCTAATCATCCGTGCAATCACAGTGAGGTTGGCCTGAAGTGACATGCTGCAGTCATTACTTCTGGCTGGAGGCCAATGGAAGACTCAGTTATACAGCCTGACACTCACTGCAGAGCAGTCCCAGAAAGCTTGACTATAAGAACAGTTAAAATGCTGTGTGACATTATGATACCCCAGAGATCATGTCAATGAAACCTTAGGGGATGGATAAGACCTACATGCTTTACAATTAATGGGTTATGGGGAACAGCAAAAACAGAAATGACCTTGCACAGGAGAAGCCGTTCATCCCTAATCCAAATACCACAACAGAGATTTCACTGATATCTGAACAGGGTGGACGATATCATTCCTTTCATTCTCGCGCACGCTGATTTGATTAAAACAACCAAAATGAAAGATGAATGATAAAAACCGAAAGAAACCTTATTTTCCTCGTATATCTTGTAACACCCCTGATCAAGTGATGTGGGACTTCTGGAAGTGTACCTTGCACTTTCCGCTGAGGATACAGGAAGGAGTTCCATATGGACAACATATGGGCCTCCAAAACAGACTCGAGGATGGATTTGCCTCTAGACACTGATCTAAGGTCAGTGTCGCGTTTACTCCTCTGATGGTTACAGTTAGGTTTGGGGGGAGGGTGTACCCGACTGATCCTGGAACCTTGCCGAAGGGCGTCTCCTACACCCTGAGCTTGAAAGAGGTTGTGTGGTTGCGGGAGCGGCTTCCATCTTTGTAGCAGGAAGTGAAGAGATCAATCAAAGAGAGCTACATGACATCCCCCAGCATGCCTCTTAAATAAATGTCAATCTCTGGCACAGTAAATCTAATCCATTACCACACGTACAACAATACAACGATGTTCTCATTCAGAGTTGGCAATAAAATAAAAGCTTCGAACACATCTGCAATCTGACAGTGAACAATATCAAATAGCTACATCTTGAAACACAACACATCCACATCCTCTCTCTTTTTTTAACACAATTTACAGATTTCAATCTCTCCTTTTTTAAACACATTTATACTTATGATAGAAATTAAATATTACCTCCTAAATTTTAATCTCATAACTTTATGTGGCATGTTATTTACCTTTAGCCAGTAGATGGCAACAGCCCATCTGAACAGCTGTCCTGGTGATACCACTAAGCCTCATATCTACCTCGCCTGTTGGTTGCAATGGCGATAAGAAAGGTACATAAGGCTTGACTTTTTAAGACCGCAGAAATCTCTCCACAGTCTAGGATTACAAAATGCTAACGCTGTCATGAGCTGCAGAGTGTTGATGCTGCACCTTGAGGAGCTCCAGGCCTGGAACCCAGTGCACCCAGCATCAGTTGATCCCTGGCTATGAAAGGAGACCTGTTATGGA